CAACCCGGCGGCAGCGTTGTTAAGAAATCAAGTTGTTATTAGCTTTCACATGCAGCACGCTTCTGAGGTGGCCGAAGAAGGGAGAAGGGGACAACGCGAACACAGGTCCCCACTACCAGAAATTATACGCTTGAGTTACCCACATTAGGGGTAATCGCAGGAGTCAACCCAGTCGAAGTGCAATGAAAGGGCCTCATCCTGAGAGGACCTCCTAGTTGATCAAGGTGCCTCTCGCGTCAGGTAAGTATGCTTTTGTGTCAGCACGGCAACCTTTTAATTGTGGCGACAAAGCGTTTCGATCGCGGTTAACATCAGTACAGTGAATAATATTCATGCAAGTACGTACATACGCCGTTTGTGATAACAAATGCGGTGGCGGTGTCCAGCTGTTCGTAACTGGTCCCGATCAAGGAGTCCGGCCGTGGTTCGTCTGAAATGGAAAGCGGCATGAGTTGATGTGAGGTTTACGGCTCAACCGAAACAGAATTTTAGCTAGAAAGAACATTGCCAATTAAGTTATTGCATTGGATAATAATAATATAGGGTTGCATGGCTGAATATGATAGATAGCTACTAGATCGGATATTATAGATGATGGAATCATATACACGCGTGTTACTTACTTATATAATACTGAGTGAGTTTTCAGTGTTACTGAATTCCGCATATTTTTGTTTCGATTAAAATGATGATTCTTCCCCTCGCGTTGAGGGGAAGAGGGCCGTACTAGGATGTAGTGCAATACCGAGACAACCCGTGGCCAGGGCGAAGCAAGCTTCAATCCCAGGGCCGAAGGCCAAAAATCAGTTTAATATATGAGTTAAGCATTGCCTAACATATCAGATATTAAGCTGATAAGAACAGATTCTTATTCAACTATGTTTAAAGTGATGGGACAGATTACTTTACCTAAGTGCTGTGGGGGTGAGGTAATCAATCTCATTTATAATATTTACCTAAAGTTTAATCTAAGGGCTGGAAGACAACAATATAACCTAACATGTGAACTGAAAATTTGGATCCATGATAGGTGAGGCAAGGTTCAATGAAGGAACGAATAGCATTGAGCTTTTGCCACGGAGCCAGGAGGGAAGTGGTGATGGCATGGATGTCTTCGATTACTTGGGGGACAATGGAAGTTATGTCATCGATGCGGTGGATCATCCCGATGGGTACATCAAGGTATTGGTAGCTCTCGTGGTGGGATAGTGCTGGGATAGGTCTATCTTGGACTATGAAGTTGTTGGACTCTAATCGTTGGGTTTGTCTCCGCTCATTGATGAAGGATAGTGATGCGCATTTGTTCCGTCGGAATTGTAAACCCAAGATGGTGGCAATGGTTGAGGCAGAGTCGAGTAGTTTCTGCAGGGTGGACTTATTCCGGGCAACCACAACTAGATCGTCGGCGTACGCGAGCACGGATATGGGTGTGTTGAAATGCTTCACAGTCCAGTAGTCTAGAGAGGCAGCTTTGGATTTGATCGAACGTAGGACCAGCTCAAGGCAAAGGTTGAAGAAGATAGCGGACATTGAGCAGCCCTGTTTGACGCCTGCATTCAGGGGGATTCGCTCGGTATCGCCTTGCTCAGTTCGGATGGTTGTGGTGGCATTTCCGTAGGAGTTCATGACCAGGTCAACGAACGCTTGGGGAACACCGAGGGGAAGAAGGGTGGTCTGGATGGTGGAATGTGGGACGCTGCCAAAGGCGTTGCGGAGGTCCAGCCAGGCCAAGAAGAGGGAGCGTTTGTTTCTCCGAGCGTCGCCCGTCAGCGATTGTAGTAGGAAAGTGTGCTCATAACAACCTTCGGTGGGGCGGACACTTTTCTGTTCTTGGGATAGGATGTTATTGTTGATGCCCCAGGAGGTTAGGCGGCGGCCCATGACGGATGTGAAGAGTTTATAGATGCATGACATCAATGCGATCGGGCGGAAGTTGGAAACATCGCTAGGATCGTCTTTTTTGTAGATCAATACAGTGACTGCGTCTTTCCAGGGTTGGGGGACGTCTATCTCTTCTTGAGATGGCGGTATTCTACTCGGTCGTGGCCGGGTGACGTGTTGAGCGCTGAGCGTAGTTTTTCTGCAATTTCTTGGTGGGTCATTTCATTATAGAGATCCTCATTATCGAAGTCGGATGCAGGAAAGGTTTCTTGTAAGGCTGCGTTGAGGGCAGTTACATCACAATTCTTGGAGGAGAATGTGTCGCGAAAGAAGGATTGGGCTTCTTCACGGGAACCAGTGTAGGTGGTGTTGTTAAAGGCGAGGATCTTTCGGGCAGCCCGTTTCTTCAAATGGCGGTACAGGCCTTGGATTTTGCGTGCTTCAGTGTGGTTGAAATTGGCGATACGATGACCTTGTGGTGGGCGCCTGGGGGCTTGATTTCTGGGAGGAGGATTATTGCGTTGGGGATGGCTTCGAGAGTTCATAGTAGAGGCCAGTGTTTGGGAGGATTCTGCAAACAGCTCACATGAGTCGAGAAGGTAACAGTCCAGTGGTCGTGGAACTGCTGTAATTCCTCGCCATGCTGGCTTTCTGGAGTATTCTGTGGAGAGCTGGGGTTTTCTAATGAGATTGGTGGTTGAGTTTTGTTGGTGGGAATTGGCTGGGCTAATGAGGTAGAGGCTGGTGGGGGTGATGATTGTGATGGGGTAAATAGTGTGGGTGAGGCATTATTGGGGGTCATCGGGTTATTGGTTGATGGAATGGGGGAGTCACTCGGGGAATCAGATAGTGGAAGGTTGGTGGGTCTGGGTGGAGTTGATTGGGAGTCGTCATCCATCTCATCAACATCTTCAAGGGTGGCACAGAGCCGGTCAATGGTGTTGCTCATGGTTTGAAGGGTGGTTGAAGGATGATGTTCAATCTCGGGGGGAGGTGGTGTTTGGGGGTGCAGGGGATCTACTTCGAGGTCGGGAGGTGGGTTTTCGACAGTAATGGTGGACCAGTTGTCGGATTTCTTTCTCGGGGTTCGGGCAAATCGTTGATTGACTGTGGATGGGGATAGGTGGAGGGATGTCTGGTGAGGGTACCCTTTGGGCGGCTGTAGTTTTGGGTGGTGTGCATTCAGCAATTGTGGATGGTGATGATTAGCGAGGTGGTTTAACGGGAACTGAAGTCTGCAGTATCTGCGACGTCTGTTTTGAATGTTGAGGAGTCGCGCTGGGGTTTCTAACAGATGGGACACAGGATGCCAGATGCTGGGAACGGAACCACGCATTCCATGCGAGCTTTAGGAGGGCAAGCCATCTTGCCGGGAATCTGGCGGCCGAGAGGAGGGATTATCAATTCCTCAGGACCTTCAGTGGACCTGGTTCAACTCGCAGAGTCTATGAACTGAGCAAAAGGTTCACCAGAGTTGAAGATCCTTAAGCCCAGAACATATCCTCTTTGAGAAAAAGTCCAGGGAGCCACTTACCAGCGCGTAGGTCTTCTTCTTGCCAAAAACTTCTCAGAACTTGCTTCGGATTGTTCTTCTATACGTCTATTAAGCTGATAAGAACAGAGTTGTTTCTTATCAGTTAAAAACTTTAATGTCCAATTGGTCCGTGTGGTCCTAAGTTTTGGAAAAAAGTCATAATAAAAATAAAAAATAAAAGTGGAAAAGGGATATATAGGCTCATGGTGCGTCCTATTATCCGTGAGCTGGATGCATGTTGGAAAGACCGAATTTGGTTGCCGAAAAGGTTAATAAACACCATGTATATATATGCTCGCAGTCATAGACGTGTGGCCATATATACAAGGGAAAGGTAAAGGTGGTGAGTTAAACAAGTGGACAAAACACACGAAGATTGAGAAACTAACATGTGACAAGACATTACAGCTACTTTATAACATAAGACGATTTAGAAGAGAGCATCATCGCAGCAGAGGTGCTGGCGATAGATGTCTGTCGAGCCCTGGATAACGTCGGTGCAACAAAGTTTTCGAAAGAGATTTTTGTAGCGACGTGACATACCAAGGGCAGAGAGGACTTTCTCGTTACGAGGGTGCCAAGAGCCAAGTGCACCAACAGCAAAGCCAAGGATTTCGCAAGAGAGGCCTTGTGCCGTGAAAAACTCGCGGAGGTAATCGTATTTGAGTTCCTTTCGATCTATGGCATCATCAAGGGCTTCGGCACCATTGTCAAAAGGACAACACACGTCAATGATTGTAGCTCGGGAATTCTCGGAGTCGGTGATCATTATGTCAGGTCGTAGGTTTGAACCAGAGTCAGCGACTGTTTTATCTGTGATGATACTGCCTGAGGGGACGGCATTGACGAGGCGGGAAACGATTTGGTCATGGCGCCGGGTGATAGCAGCCATGTTCTGAGTGCAGTGACATAGGTTTCATCTTCGTTACAATGTCGGCAGGAGGGACTAGCATTGGGCTGTAAAACTGACACGTTTATCTTCAACCAGCTTTATTCGGTAAATAGATTACAATATGGCAGCTCAATGATGAGTCCACGTGTTTATATAACAGATGGAGACTGGGACTAATATTACGTACAGGAAGTTGCTATGACCGGAAGTGTTACATCCCCCTTTGTTTTTTTTTTTTTGAACTCGTTTCTAACGTAAATTATTTTTTAAAAATAAATAATGTCTATCTAGCAAAAAAAAAAAATATATATATATATACATATTGTCAAGAACTATAACTATTTCTCAACCAATTCTGATTCAATGTTCGGTCCCTACTGCGTCTTCACTTAAGAAATATTCAGTCTCTCGGGCGGTTTAGAAATCCGTCCCGACCTGGTCACATAATAAGGCTGCGACATACATAACTGATCTTCAGGCGGCAAACTTTCCTCTGGAGGTGACGTCAATGATGGCTTCGTTTCCTGCTTCTTGTCAGTACAGCTCGGCCAAAAAGGTGCGATTGGTTGGGATGATTTCATCGGCTGTAACTTCGTCTGTTGTTTCTGAATACTGCTAGGTCTTAACTGTGTTCTCATGCGGCGATAGATGGATTTTGTTCTATTGTTGAGAACGATGTAAGATCTAGGTTCCTTAGCGGGTTTGATGAGTCCTACTATGATAAGTCTTACTATGATGGTCATAGATGTTAACAGGTTCCCCTTCAGAAAATGGCTTCAAGGTTGGTCCAGCTGTGCGGTTATAGTACAGTGCTTGTTGTTCCTGTCGTCGGTGCAGCTCACTCTTGGTGATGCTGGTATTATCATTCACACAGGCTCGCATCGCTATCGGTAAGGTTGTTCTTAGCTTGCGGCTATTCAACAGCTCTGACAGAGATTTCAACTGGTGACTGACTGGCGAACTACGATAGGCAAGCAGTCCTAAATAAGGATCGGTTCCATCCTTATCACATTTTTTCAGGATACTCTTCACGGTTTGGACCATACGTTCTGAGGATCCATTAGATTGCGGATACATAGGCGAACTTGTGGTATGTTGAAACCCATAAACTATAGCAAACTGCTGAAATTCCCGGGAAGCATACTGCGGTCCATTATCCGTAACAAGCTTTTCTGGAATACCATACTCCGCAAAAATGCTCTTAAGATAGTTAATAATCGCATATGATGAGGTACCATTCAGCTTCCAGACAATGGGAAATTTGCTATACTCATCTGATAGCAACAAATATGAATTACCCTTGTACTCAAACAGATCGGAGTTGAGTATCTGCCAAGGGTAACAAGGTGGTTCAGGTTGAAGTATATTCTGTTTTTGCTGTTTGTGTTGGTGCTTCTGACATGCATCACAGCCTTCAACAACCTGGATTATATCCTTCGTAATCTCTGGCCAAAACACGACAGCTCTTGCTCGGAGGAGACATTTCTCTTGTCCTGAAATGACCTTCATCACAGGACGAAAAGCGTGCCATTAATTAGCTTTAGCAAAAATACTAAAGGTATTAAATGCGTATCTATAACTTTTAATAAGCCGACTAAAGGTGATTAAAGAAAAAGTTACATTTAATCGCATTTATTTTGAATAAAACATCTCTTTTGGAAACCGATAGATTTAATTGCATTTAGTGAGCATTTTAAAGTGGGTTAAAGCCGACATTAGTGCGCGTATAGTTTAATAAACTTTAACCAGTTGTTTAAATGTTGATTAAAGGCAGAGATAGCATTTAATCACCACAAAACCTGACACCTACTTTAATTCCGTTAGGACGGCAATTTAATAGGATTAAATATATTGTTATTGCAACAATTATATGGTAACAAATAAACATGATGATATCTGATACGTTTGTTATTATCGAGTAACGTAATGCTATAATGCGCCTTTATTTCACCTGAATTTAAGCACTTCGAGACACTGTCGGACAATATACAAGAAATAAGAAAGACTTCTTATTGTGCAAATTCGCTCATTAGTATAATTATAAAGTGCGGAAGTGATTGATATACAAGTTTATATAAATTTGGCCAAAGTGCGTGGCAGTTATAATACGATATGGATAAGGCGAACAGTTACGTGTTTTGCGACCACTGCGAACAAAACGTTTCGGAAACAACATTCCGTAGACATATGGCTTTAAAACAATCTCGCCAGCTGAAGAGAAGTTTGAAGAAAGATTCTTCAACGTCTTCATCCGACACAGACGGAGAAAGTGATTGTAACAGTTACAGTTTCAAAGGTGAGAGTGTTTTGCATGCAAGTCCATAAATACAGCTATATCATTATTAGATTCTAAACTGTATATATACTCAAAGATAACCAGTTGCAGCGTATTCATATATCACAGAACACAGTAGGTTTCTCAACTGCCTTAAGTAGACAAGAAAACCTCTCGACGTTTCGACCTAGGGGCCTTCGTCAGGAGAGTTAGCATCCAATGATATACTTACTCTCCTGAAGAAGGCCCTTAGGTCGAAACGTGGAGAGGTTTTCTTGTCTATTTTAGGCAATTGAGAAACCCACTGTGTGCTGTTGTATATATACTCCCTTGGATTACAAACCCTAATACAGCATTTTGTGTTATTTACCGTTTAAGTCGGTCCGCACTGGAGAGATATTTCCCCTCGGTCTCAAAATCGTTCCTCGGCCTCATTAATTTATTATATAGTATGAACATCCACATTTTCTTTGGAACTGTAGAAATGTCGCATGATGTTGCTTCTGAGCAGACCATAACTGACCCAAATACAACCGGACATTCAAGCCTTCATGACGTAAGTACACTGAATTGAACATTCAGATGATTACACTTACAAGTTAATGAAGTTATACTGTTTCATATATCAATAACTTTAAATAATCAAAATTGTCTGTTCGCACGAATTTGGGCCATACAGTTTGAACTGAATTTTAGCATTGAAAAAAGCTTCCCAAAATCGTGAATTTTCCACATTTTTACATTGACAAAATAATGATTCAGAAGGATTAAAATATAGCATATACCATAGCATAATTCACATAAAAATAAACAAGTTATTATAACTTTTAGAATGTCCACTATAATGACTACAATTCATTATTTTGTAACTCTTACTGTGTTATTCTTGTTTTGTTAATATTACGAACATAAGATTTGAAGCGATGCTTTTTATACGCACAATTTGTACAATGATAGGAACTTACAAACATTGAAGAATTTTCAATGCAAGTACCTGGCAAATAAATAAGTTTTTTTGTTTCATATTCATTGTGCAGAACACTGATCAAGATGTAGCCTTAGATGATGATAATAATTTGGATAGCGAATTGTCAGAAGATGATGGTACTGAGTCAACTGATGATGAAATTTGGCCTGATATATCGGAGGAGACACTGGATCAAGACATCTCATCCAATGAAGCTCTTCCAGATCCTACACCAAAGCGACGGAAAGTGCAAGTTGCTAACTCCATTCTCCAGTGGTTGTTATATTTTATTCTAATTTGGCAAGGTGTGTGTCACTTAAGTGATAATGGGCTTGCATGGTTGTTGCGTTTTCTTCAGCAATTCCTTAAAGTGCTGAATATTCATGTAACTGGCGAGCTTTTAACTGAGCTAATAGCTATTTTTCCGACCTCGTTGTACATGGTTCGTCAGTTTCTTGATTTAGATCGCGACAATTTCAACAAGTATGTTGTTTGTCCTAAATGTTGTGCATGCTATGAATACAGTGAATGCGTTCGTGATGTTGATGGTCGACATGTTGTAAAGAGATGTTCAAGCAAGCATTACTCGCGAGGGAAAATGCATTTCTGCAACGGACAACTAGTAAAAAAAGTTACTTTGAAAAACAATGTTATCAGATATTATCCAATTTATACTTATTGTTATTCAAGCATTGTAAATGCTTTAGAAAAACTCCTTAAAAAACCTGGGTTTCCCGCTAAATGTGAAGAATGGAGAACAAGACACACAGAATCGGAACAGCTAACAGATATGTTTGATAGTCAGCTTTGGAAAGATTTTCAGAAATATAACGGTGTCGATTTTTTAAATGCTCCTAGGAATTACGGACTGATGCTCAATTTCGACTTCTTTCAACCAATGAAGCATAGGAAAGATTATTCTGTTGGCGTACTTTACCTGGTGCTGCTAAATTTACCGCGCGCTGAACGCTTCAAATGGGAAAACGTTTTAGTAGTTGGCATCATTCCTGCCATGGGAAAGGAACCCAAGAATTTAAATCCATTCCTGAAGCCGTTAGTTGAGGAGTTAAAAGCACTGTGGAAAGGAGTTCGCTTGCAGTCTAGTCTTAGCACAATATCCCTAATATTCCGAGCAGCTTTGTTGTGCACCTCTTCAGACATACCTGCCTCAAGAAAACTGTGTGGATTCAAAGGACACAGCGCTGAATTTGGGTGTTCGCGGTGTCTTAAGAAATTTCCGGGGGGCTTTGGAGAAAAGCGAGATTATTCTGGTTTCGAAGAAGAAAACTGGCAGAAACGTAAGAATGAGGAGCACAGGCGCCAAGCAGAAAAGATGTTGCAATGTAAGACAAAGAAACAAGAAGCTAAGCTGTCAAGAAAGTACGGAATAAACTACTATAGTGAACTTTTAAAACTAGAATATTTTGACGTAGTCAGATTCTGTTCTATTGACCCAATGCATAATCTGTTTCTTGGAACGGCGAAATATATTTTTAAGCACTGGGTGAGAGAAGGAATTCTCAACAAAAAAGACCTTGAGATATTAGAAAGTAGGATAGATGGACTGGAGGTGCCTGTTGAGATCGGAAGACTACCAAAGGTAATTTCATCAAATTACGGTTCGTACACAGCAGAACAATGGAAAAATTGGACGCTCATATACTCCTTGTATGCTCTAAAAGATGTCTTACCAGAACAACATTTTAAATGCTGGCAGTCTTATGTGTTGGCTTGCACGTATCTGTGCAAACCTATTCTTTCCAACGACGACATCATAAAAGCTCATTTCTTGCTTCTAAAATTTGGTAAAGTGTGTCAAAAGCTTTATGGAAATCACTTCTGTACTCCAAATATGCATTTGCACTGCCATTTAAAAGATATTCTTAAAGATTTTGGACCTATCCACTCATTTTGGTGCTTCAGCTTCGAGCGTTACAATGGCATCCTGGGAAGTTTTACAACAAATAACAGGTCCATTGAACTGCAGCTTATGCGAAAGCTAACAACACAACGGTTCCTTGATAATATCACGCTGGACAAAAATTTACAGCCTTACTTTGAAGATGTCGTAATCTTTGCAAGAAACGACTCTAAAACTATTTATTCGGCTTTTGCACTAACCGAACTGCTAAGTTTCTTTAATACTGACGTTATGGCACCTTTGAAATCCATTAACTGGGGTAATATATCAGCTGTAAACCTACCTCTTTGCTACAAAGAAAGAAGTCTTGATAACGATGATCTCGCTGTTCTGCTTAAAGTGTACCATACCATGTTTCCAGACAAGGATATCATTAGTGAACAGCTTAGCAGAATTATTCGAAAATATAGCACGATTGAAATATTCAACCAACAATTTGGGTCTAAGTTGGCTTATAGAAGTAAGCGATCAACGGGAGTGTTAGCGGCTTGGCCGGGATTAGACGGTGAAATTGATGAAACGTGCAATGGTATGTCCTTTGGAATGATAGAGTTTTATTTTTCTCACTCGTTGAACTTTCGGGGTGAATTTATCAAGTACTACTTTGCATGTGTAACGTGGCACAAATCAGTGGACGACACAAACTTTAACTCGGTAAACCCTTTGCATGTAGCAAGTACGGATGATAAACTACCAATTGGTGCATCGCGATTTCTACCAGTTCAGCGTATTTCAAGAAAATGTGCAATTGCAATTGAAGAAAATGAACACATGGACAAAAGGTACATTCTTTCACCTTTGCCACGTCATTTTGTTTCCTAACAATATCAAATATTACAGTTAATTGGGGTTGAAGAGACACAATTACCGTTTGAGCGATGTTTTTTGAGTGCGCCATTAACCAATCACAAATCTATCTATGGTAATCTATCTATCATGATATAGTAATATAAATAATACTTATTTCTAGTGCTGTGTTTCGTTGATCTAAAGTTAAGTATGTACAAGTATAAACACTTCATGCTGAACCACAGTTGTACCAGTAGCTCAATTGTTGCTAATCTCTTTGAATTCCAAAGCTACTTTAGAAGCCTTAGGTCGTTTTTCTGGTGTTCCATGTATACATTGTTTTGCTATTTTCTGAAGATCAGTTGATTTTGTGTAGTAGACAACCAGAGAAATTATTTGGCCAAATGAATAAATGTCGCTGGCTGTAGACGGTGGACCTCTTCCCCAAATTATTTCTGGCGCTATATGTTTATAATATTTTAAATAGCGGTCTTGCTCCTTCGAATTCAACTTACGAATTTTAGCACTTTCAGCTTTTTTCATTTTTCCAAAATCAATAATTACTGGTTCGCGAACATCAGCGCTGCTCTTCAAGATAACATTATTGTGTTTAATATCGCAATGAATCAAACCTTTTTCATGAATGTGAGCAAGAGCACCTGCACATTTCTCCAGTATGAATGCCCATTCCTTTGCTTCTAAAGAGAGCTCCTTTGCTGCAAGGCCAATGGTAACACACTGTCCACCAATTCCATAAAATTCAGTAACCAATATGTATGGCTTTGATTGTACATTGATACCAAACAGAAATGGCAAACCTTATATAAGAAAAGTATTATGAAATTATAAATAAATAAAATAAGTCATGAGTCTTCTTGTATTTCCATGTACAGTACAATTTTACACAATCTGAATACAGAGACATTGAATGAAGTTGATCATGAACAATCAACTATTAAAGCAGAAGTTTCTCAGCTTTAAATTTTGAGTGAAAATACAAACTTCAGGATCAGTTTTGCTAGAAGAGTTGCCATACTGCTAATCATTATTCCACATGATCATACCTAACGGTAAACAGGCCTATCCCCAACATTGATAATTGGTGGTGTGGGGGGGATGGGTGTATTAATATATCCATGTAAATATGAACATGAATATATGAATATACACACCCCTCCCAACTATCCACGTAAACTCTGTTACAGTGCCGTAAGTTTCAAGTATGCTGTAATCATAATAATTAATCATTTTCATACCAGGGTGATCAAATGAATTAATCATCATGGCTTCCTTTTCCACATCAGTTCTACTTGTATGGCTTTTAAACTGTTTCACAGCAACTACATGCCCTCTGTACATCTTTTTTACACAGATGCCAAATGTCCCCTCACCAATTTTATTTTTTCGTCCACTTGACAATATTTTCAAGTTGGCTGGGTCAATTTGATGGATAGACCTAGAAAAATTTAAATAAATAATAGCCAGGTTGATATTGAAAATATTTAGGCTTGAATATTGTTCAGCTGTATAACTGCTATTCAGTATACTATAGTTGAATGCATTAGGTGGCAATGCCCCCTACTTATTTTTTTACTTGTCTAATGTCAGATTATTTCATTTGTCAGGGGGGAAGCTCTGCCACTTAATGTGTTAACTACAAAAGCTGACAATCTCTCGAGTTAACGCATTAAGTGGCAATGTGCCCGGCATGCCCTACTTATTTTTTACTTGTCTAACGGCAGACAATTTTACTCATTAGTGTGGAAGCTCTGCCCCTTAATGGGTTAATATAAAGATCAAATGATCTTCAAGACAGTGTTGTTTCATGAATTGACAGCTACTGTAAGCACAAACTATTGTTTCAAAAGGTTGGAGACATATGGTCATATCTGTAGCTAGCATTTCATGAGTACCCCATTAATGTTCAAATTGCTTTCTCTTCTTAATTGGCCAGTACAATAGTAACTCCAAACGAGCAGAACATTTTGAGCACATTCTAGCTTCGGAATAAAAAAGCTAGTAAAGTGAGCTAAAATTTACAACATTTCACAACCAAACTTTGAAAATATACTAATTTTAGTATGCTCTTTTCCAGCTTTGGTGATTTATTTGAATCTCCTTGTCTATTTCAGTCCATAATTGGAATTGTCAATTGTGTCTAAAGTTTTTATGAATCATGCAAGATAAATGTACTAGGGACAGAGGATTCTAAATACTATACTATTACACCATTTATATCAGACTCCCTATGTACAAAGGCCCAAATCAAACATTCATCCCATCGCTTTCCACCCACAGCAAAGTTTGTATTGAGTATTGAATGAAAATGTTGCAGGGGAAATTTAAATTTCACACAAAATTTGAATTATAGTTTTGATCACTGTATCATCATTCAATCAAATGCAGATTCAAAAAGATTTTGTCTAATCGGGCAATCAGACAAAAAAGCCTGAATCTGGCTTTTTACATGCAGCATGGTAAAGAATATATCAGGTCCTCCTTCATTTGTCGCTGCCAATCAATCATAGCGAATGAAAACATACTGCAGGCCTGGGGCATGATACTTAGGTTACATTGTTGGTCAATGTTCCACTTCATTTAATAATATAAACCCCTGCCTATAAATGCAGTTTTCTAAGATGTGGCCAGAACTGCCAAATGAATTCTGTTAAGGTTGGAAAAAAATATTTCATTTCTGCAAGGGGTCTCTTAAATCCCAGCGTTAAAAAAGCACATATTAATATTATTCAATCAAAATTGCTTAGATTCTGGAGGGTCAAATATACTCCATAAGGGGGGGGGGAATTATACTGAATATAATGTGGGGTGCTTTAATGCAGTATAACAGTATTAAGTAAATACACACAATTTTAGCAATCTATCGATATAACCCTGCTTCTATAAACTGCTCAAATTAAATATAAGGAGCAATATACATGTACTTACATACGAGACGTAGTACGCAAAGACTTTTCCTCTCTCCACTTTCTCCAAAAAAACTCGGCCTTCGATCTCATTTCAGTCGTTGTGGCTTTCAATTCTTTCTCAATATTTTTCTTTATTTTCTCCTCCAGCCGTCTTTGCTTGACATTTCTGGTCTCTTTACGTTTCCTTTCTCGTAATTTCTGTTTACGACGGCGACGTTTAAGGCGCACTTCCTCGACATTATTTGGTCTGGAGAGACGACGCTGCTTCGCAGGTATAAAACAATTCTGTTCAGCCTCTGGTGGCACTGGGCTTTTAGCTTCCAGAAGGCTGCGCATTCCACTGGTAGCAAGTGCGCCACTCGCTGTGTGGAAAGACTGGTTAAAATGTGCCATTTCAACCGGTTTTGCGCAAGGTATACCACCAAAAGCTTTACAGAATTTTTCAATTTAAGGCTTTTCAAAATATTTGTCGTTCGTTGTCATTGCGCCAAAGTACGTAATGTGTGCTTCCCGCGCTTTTGCGTTATTTAACAATTATGAATTTATGATATTTGTCTCCGATCGGATAACTGTCCCCTATAGGGTGGGTAGGCAACTCATAATATGTCTGTTCTATAAATAACGCGACTAAAACAATGGCGGATTATCGTTGTAGAGGAAATGTGCACGGAATCAATTTTTAAATGACTTAGTATTCGTAAGGAAGCCCAATTTACATTTAGGCCAGTGCTTTTCTAGGTTATCTGGGTAAAGACTTTGATGTTCGTGTGTTATACCTAACGGAAGAAATATGATAACGATAGAATCCTGCTGTGAAAGTTTTCTACAACCAATGAAATATTGGACGTGATCGCGCTCAATTATAAATCTACATACAATTCAACAATCAACTGTGTCAATGTGTTCAAAGTCCTTTCGCGACAAACAGCTGAATCTGACTTCACTGGATTTTTCGACATATCCACTGAAATGTCTTTGCCCGATCAGTACGTTTTATTATTACAAAATGTGGTCGAGGAAAACAGGCTCTTGAGAGCTCAAATGGCTAATACCATTTCAAGCAATGAAAGTGCTTTGAAAAATATTGAAACAAAAATGGACATCTTGTCCCAGACAACTTCACCTGGCAGACGAGTCAGACAGACCGGGCAGAACAAACATAAAGTGCCCAAAGCTTGCAGTGTAAGTAAATACAGTTTCATTTATTTCCTATTAACCATTTCATCTGAATGGCTTTATGCCTTTATCCGTTGACCGTTTATGTTGAATAACAGATTTTAATAATATGAGGACAAAAATGTCCATATTGTTTGAATTGGTCTTTGTTTATATATAGTTATCTTTGTATGTTTTAAAGTCTTTATAAATGTCTCCTTATTATGGTAATATAATTATATTTACTATCAACCTATTCACTGCTTGTACCATAACACTAAAGGAGTAAAATGTCTGGTGTTACACAGAGAAAATCCAGGGGGCATGTCTAGGCACATTGCCACCAATTTAGGCTGACTTTTCAACTAAATGTTCAACTAAAAGCCAACCAAAGGTTTAACAGAAATCAATTGTAAGAACTGTAAAACCATGTTTAAAAAACCATTATTTTTAGATATTTAATTTTGAAAATGTGTTTACTATGTTCTTCAATAGAATAATGTCCGAAGAAAACTCAAGGCTCTTAGGAGTGCTGATGAAAATATGCACTTTAGATTAACTGAAAGGTAATGCATAAAGGCAACTTCTTTCAAATACTAATTTATATTAATAAAACTGGTGAAGTCATGTTACCGAGATGATGTACATTGTTTACCTTTCCGATGTTAGTATTTTAGATTGAGTCTTATCTTATTTTTATTGATTGTAATTAATATATTACCAATTAAGCACCAGCACTCTCCCCTTAATGAGTAAAATAGTCTGGTGTTAGACAGAGTAAAACGCCAAAGTAGGGCGCATCAGGGCGCAAACTTGATGGGTAACCCATTAAGTGGCAATGTGCCCCAGGACACCCTACTTATATTTTTTACTTGTCTATTGCCAGACGAAATACTCGTCAGTGGGGAAGCTCTGCCACTTAATGGGTTAAACTGCATATTAGACTGGAAGTTGTGCTGACATGCTATAAATATAAATTATACCAGTCTTTGAAATTTTATTTGAAGCCTTCAGAATTCTATGTGAGGCCTTCAGAATTGTGCGATATATGGTGAATTCAGAACATGTGATAATTATGCAAAATTCTGAAGGCCTTAAAATAAATTCATAATGGCATACATAAAATTCTAAAGGCTGGTATATTTTAATAGTGTGTCCCTTTGTACCACGTACAAGAACACTATCTTTTGAACAGTAACTCTCAAACTGAGCATGGAAGTTCGACAGTATGCTACACAGGTTAAGCACAAGTAATAATTTTGAACTAATTAAGTTTCTTGTTTCTAGCCCCGATTCTCAGCAAAATTCACAGCTATTTAAAAGAGTGGCAGAAGAACTGCAACATGAATTTGGTGGTCAGGAAAATTGTCCTTGGCCAACGGTTGTTTTAAAAGGTATATACTCAGAGTTTTAACTTGTAATGTAAAAGAAATATAGCAGCAATAAATCAGTTGACTAATATGTTCCTTAGTTCTCCAGTCTCTGAGTATAGACGTCTAATAGGATAGGGATTCAACCCTTTTTGCGGGAGTCGTGTAATTTATTTTAACAAGGCGCATCCAATGAATTACGACATATGAAAACCAGGTTTAAACCTTCGTCACAGGGAAAACCTTTCTCTGCGCTGGTGGTGCCCCATACGCACAGCTTTTTTGCAACTATGTTTTCAAATTGGGTTTTCCCTCGTGAAAGTAAGTTTCCTAGAAATTAGGGCCCTGAATCTAGAAGGTGATTGTTGCTTTTTTATGTTTTAGAGGCGTTTAAGAGGTATTTCAAGTCATGCAAAGCAAAACAGAAAAGAGTTGCTCTTGGAACAGAACAGCAACACGTTCAAATTTGCAGGAGAAGGAGCAGAAAGGAGGAGGTATGTTTTTACAATATCTTTTTAAAAATAGTTGATACTTAATGATTATTTTAGCTTTGCTTCATACTTGATTGAACACGACTATCTAACTACTTTTAACGTAACAGTTAAACAGTGTAGTAGGTTATATGCAACTACATGGAAAATAAGAAAATTCTTCGATGTTTCGAGCGAAGCCCCATCAAGAAGTTGGTTGTAGTACTTAGTTGGATAACCTACTACACTGACATGTAAGACTCGAACTCCGAAGAGAAAAACCACCGGAAGCAAAATTAGCAACTGGATTTTAGGCGAGACTATACTTAGCACCACAATCTCAAACACTTACCCAAGTAAGAATATAATTATTCAGAAACATCAGGATCAGCGTTAATTCGATGATGTTTCTGAATAACTGTATTCTTACTTGGGTAAGTATTTGAGATTGTGGTGCTAAGTATAGTCTCGCCTAAAATTCAGTTGCTAATTTTGCTTCTGGTGGTTTTTCTCTTCGGAGTTTGGGTCTTACATGTCAGTTAAATTACTAATTTGTATTTACTCTGATGATGACTAGTATATCTACTACACTGGGTCACTGTAATATACGGGACTGGTAATTTTTATTTCTGAATTGTGTTTTTAAGCATGATAGTAAACTACCGTTGGTCCGTATATTATACTTTACTTAACCTTATACAATGCCTATTACCTGTTTACAAGACTGGCTGGTACTGTACAATTCATGTAATAGTGCGAAAAGAAGCCTGGTGTTAATGTCGACGATATTTGCTTTTAGAAACTAGCGAGAAGATTAAAAACGATCGAGAAAATGGGTTGGAACCAGACGAAAGTGGCAAAGGTGGCAGACGTCATGAGAATGGACTATATGTCCTCTGAAGAAAGCGAGGTAGACGAGGAAACAAATAGGATTAAACACTACAAGGTTCGGAAGCTTTCTTGGGAAAGCAGAGAATTAAAGCGAACTAAGAAGAAGCTTGATAAAAACCACAAGGATTCGCTACCTGGATTGTCCAAACGAGCTGTTACACCAAGAGAGGAAGGAGAACCCTCCGGTAAACCAAAACCAGCCAACTGTCCTGGTTGGGCGTGTGTTGTTCTAACTGAAGACCCGACAAATGAACCAGTTGGAGCACAATATTTAGCCGAGGATGATTTGAATCTGTCACGATAGACTCTTTAGTTATTAAAAATTGCTACAAAATTATTTCAGTTACATGTACATTGACGATGGACATCCTAGAAGATGCAAATAATTATGTAATGCGCCCTAATAAACCGAAGGTTTGAAACTCAATTGAAATTCTTGGAGATTTCCAGAAAATGTTTAATGAGTATGCAACTTTCAAAACCAATTGACTACTATATATATTTAAGATGTCACCCTGAGTGTAACCACACCGGGTAAGCTTTAACCTTGACCACGGCGGGGATCGCAGCCGTGACTTTCGGTTTGCTAGTCCGATGCTCTACCAAATGAGCTACAAGGCCAAGTCGGTTCTTAAATATATGTTTACTCCGAACTCAAAGTTCAGTGCCCTTGTTTATTGGTCTCTAGACGCGCAATATATTTTTGAAAATATATTGGCTATTGCGCGTCTGGAGATCGATGCACTGAACTGTAATTTAATTGTTGAAAACACCATATTATTCACCGTACCAGAAACATCACATCATGCAATAATATTAGTATAGGAATCATGGATGTATACTATACATTACGACTTATCTATTTATTTAAAATGATGAATTTTTGTAAATACACGGGTATAGAGGGAAATAAATGCTTTTTTGCAATGAACTGGTGATGCTTGTATTTGTTTGACTATAGCTAGCTATACGTGTAGCTTGTACCAAATATAACGATTAGAAATTTAAGTTTTATTGCGAGTTGAGCTTGTAATTGAATGGAAATCAGTTTCTTCGTTTATTTACATGGAATAGGTTATATAAGTATAACAGCCATGCAGCTAACGAATTAACAAAAGCTGAATTATTGTGAATATAATAGGTTAATTAAAGACAGTTTAAATGTGCATTTACGCAAGGTTTAATCAATGTTTTAAGGCGATTAATCTATACTTATCTCACGCTTTATCGACCTTTAAACAATGTATTAAATCTACTTTTAATACACTTTAGCCAACTAGCACATTTATGATTAAAATCGACTTTAGTCAAAAAAGTCAAGATATTAAAGGCAATTATACGTTCCTTTAAACTGCCTTAATCTGCATTTAATCCACTTAATTAAATCTGCCTTTAGCACACTTTAATCAACATTTAGTCTTAAGTATTAATCCCGCCGTTATACACTTAGTAGAACATTAAACGTGTCTAAAGGTGTGTTTAGTGTATTTAATAAATCGCATTAAGTGTAACTAAACACCAATAAAATACACGATTAATCTGCCTTTACAACCGTATTAAGGGCACGCTTTTCGTCCTGTGCATGTATCGTTGAAAGGATTTCTTCTCTAAGACTTGATGGCACAACTATACGCTCTTGCTTTAGGATAAGGTCATCCTCAATTGTTAACTCCTCTCTAAAGTTCCAGTAATCGTGGAGCAATTGAGGGCACTGCTCCCTCGTAGCTGGCCAACCTCGGTAGACCATCTTGCGTAGTTTACTCAAAACTGATTACTTACAGTTTCATTTCGAATTTGCTGCAGTTTTATAGGAGAGGCTGGGAGGGTGTTAGTAATCTGGTGGATATCTAGTTGCGGAAGTTGACTCTTGAGAGATACGACTTGAGGTGATATCCTGGACAGGGCATCGGCGATAGGTACTTGTTCACCTTTCACATACGTCACTGTTACGTCATACTTAAGTGCTCTCAGCACAAATCGTTGTAATCTGGATGGGCAGCTACTCAATTTCTTCCTGAAGATTGTCTCCAAAGCCTTATGATCAGTATGCACAGTACACTTCTTTCCGTAAATAAAGTAATGAAACCGTTCAAGACCCCATACAACGCCAAGCGCTTCACGTTCAATGTTACTGTACCTTTGTTCTACTTCTGTGAGAGCTTTAGACGCATAACACATGGGCTGACCTCCTTTTAGAAGCACTGCGCCTAAACCTTTGAGAGATGCGTCCGTTTGAATGGTTGTTTCTGCATCAGGATCGAAATATCGGAGTACGCCCAGCGAGGATACTTCCTTCTTTACTTCGTCAAATGCGCGCTTGTGCTCTGGCCCCCAAGAATACGCAGAATCTCGCTTTAGTAGATCACGAAGTGGGGACGACAGAGTGGCTAGACATCCAGAATACCTGGTTAGATAACTTACTAAACCAAGGAAACTTTTTAAACTCTTCGCATCTTCTGGTGGCTTCATACCAAGGATTGCTGATACTTTCTTGTCATCTGGTTTCATGCCTTGTGGTGTCCAAGTGTGCCCAAAGAAACGCACTTCCTTGCACTTGAACTGCAACTTCTCCTTGTTGAATACCACGCCCTTGTCTCGTGCTCTCTCTATAAGCTTGACCAGATTTGCATTGTGCTCTTCTTCTGAAGATCCATATACAAATGTGTCGTCTGCTATACCAGTGATACCATCGAGGCCTTCAAGTGCTGTATCCAGCTGTTTCTGGAAGATATCTTGAGAAACAACGAGACCAAAAGGTAACCGGTTAAACCGATAGCGGCCAAAGGGGGTGCTAAATGTCGTAAGGTACAAACTTTCTTCATCCAGAGGTACATGCCAACACCCCTTCTTTGCATCTACCACAGTGAAGAATTTAGCATCTTTTAACTCAGTGACCACTTCATCTATGGTCCTCATCCGATAGTGCTCCCTTTTGATCCATTTATTCAAGTCGCGAGGATCAAGGCAAAGTCTTATCTTTACAATCTCTCCTTTCTCGTTGGTTTTCTCGCTGAGTACAACACTATTTACCCAATCTGTGGGCACCTCGACAGGTGTAATAACATCAAGTTTCAACATATTGTCAATTTCCTGCTTGTAGCGATCCTTCAGATGCACGGGAACTTGTCGCAGTGGATGAATGACTGGTTCTGCATTTGATTCTAAGGTAATATGGTACGGCTTCATATCTTTGAATGTACCTATTCCCTCGAATTGGTCTGAGTACTCTTTCATCAGAATCTCTTTAGTAAGAGGTGTAACCTTCTCACCAACACTATGTGAACCTGATAAATTTGATGCGCTTGCATGCACATGCATTATTTTACCAGGAAACTGTACCAAACCCAGGTTATGCGATGTTTCACAACCTAGGATTGCAGGTCCTTCAACATCCGTGACATTAAATACTACTGGTTTAACTTCATCATTATGGTGTATGTATAACTGACAGGTACCAATGTTCTGAATCTCATGACCTCCATAGCAGTAATTTTAATGTTAGGTGGTTCAAGCCTTCTTCGCTTGGGATCAGAAACAACTTTTTCATAAACATATTTGGAAAGAATATTCAGTTCTGCCCCAGTGTCAATTTTACATACTACCGGGGTGGTACGCTTATGGTAAGGCTCTGCGGTCAGATGGGTTTCAATCAGTACTTTCTTTCTCTGCTCGGTACTTAGGCTACCAATATTCATACCAATATTTGGAGACTGTTCTGCTGACAAAAGGACAGGGAATAAGAAGGGATGACCCTGTGTGCAGTAGATGTGGAAATACAGCACACAATAAAGGTCAGAAATGTCCTGCTATTAAAGCACAGTGTTTTGGATGCAAGAAAACCGGTAATTACCAAAGCATGTGTTTCAAGACAGCAGCTTTTTACAGAGTTCGTTGGGCAACAATTGAGCCGAGCACGGTGGACGAACCGCCAATCCTTGAAGCCGAAATTGAGACCCGAGAAATGCCAGGAAGACCCGTTGCCGTGTTTGTCATTCTGGAGGGAACGAGCGAGTTTGCCTTGGTCAGGGAGTTCTCGAAGGGTAGCGGCCGCTTTGTCACGGGTTATATTGTGTAAGAAGCGACAGGCATCACGAGCTGGAACTGGATCACCGGGGGGCACCGACAGTTGGCAGGTTGATGTTGACCTTCAGGCGCTTGGTGGTGTTGCGTGTTCGCGTCCAAAGGGAGCCTGTTCGGTATCGCAGCGAGTCAAGGCGTCGGTCAGAGGAGCTTGAGAGATACTTTGACATCAGCTCTGGCATAGGTTTGCACTGTGTGGCAAAGCGGACGGTTTGTGCTAGTTCGTTTCGGGCAATACCAGCGACTACGGGGTCACAAGAGGCCAAGATTTTGACTGCTTGAACTGCAGTTTGAAGGTCAGCTTTGGTGAAAGGATCTTGGAAACCAAGACCGCCTGACTGTCGCCTAGTGAAAAAATAGTGAGTTGTTGCACGATCAAGCAGGTGGCAGATCTTCCGGAGGGCAGCAATCAAAGTAGTCCGATACTCTTGCAAAGACTGGTGAGATGGAGAGCTAGCACGCAAGACATAGGTTAGACACAATTTAACGAATGTTCGGATGGCATCCAACTTCTGCCAAGGGGACAGCAGGGATTGTTCGATCTTGCGCAGCTTGTTGGAAAGATCGTCAACGAGCGATTGGAGATTGGTGATGTTGACGATGAGGGACACCAAGGTATAGGTAGTGGTCTTGTGCTTTGAGAGGTGGGATCAATCGGGACTGGACTTTGAAGTCGTTGTTGGTGACTCGGTGCTGACTTCTCGGGGTGATGCTAAGGGAGGCACATTTTTCAGGTCTGAACGTTATAGCTAAGGCATCAGCAGCTTCAGAGATTGCATCGAGGAGGTGTTGTAGGTCAGGTTTTGTCTTCGCCATGACAACAAGATCATCGGCGTAGGCCAGGATGGAGAGAGGATAGCCATGGTGCTTAATGGGTCCTCTTGGATTTGTTTGGACAGTGGCGGTGGCTTTGCGAAGGATGAGCTCTGTTGTGAGGTTGAAGAGAATGGCGCTCCGGGGGCATCCCTGCTTTACTCCCCAGGCAATGTTGATCGATTAGGTTGGTCCCGTAGAGGTTAAGGCCTCAGTAGAGGCGTTGGTGTATGCCATTTTGACAAATTCTACGAGATCCGGTGGAAAGCCCATGTGGGTGAGGGTCGTAAGGATTGCATTGTGGGGGATGCTTCCAAAAGCGTTACGGATGTCGAGCCATGCTAAGCAAAGGTTCTTCTGCTGGCGTTTGGCATCGTTAACAACGGACTGAAGAAGGTACGTATGCTCATAGCAGCCTTCGCTAGGTCTAGCACTCTTTTGTTGGGCTGATAGAAGGTTTCGCTCGATGGAGAAGGCAGTGATACGTTTGGCAAGAATGGCCATGAGGAGCTTGTAGCAGCAAGACATAAGGGCTATTGGTCGGAAGTTACCAGCATCATCGGTTGGGCCTTTTTTGTAGATCAAGATTGTAGTTGCGGTTTTCCACTACTCAGGAACGTCTCAGGAGGTGAAACAAAAGCAATACATACGAGCCAGGATTTCGCATTTAGGATCGATCAGACGCATGTGGCGATATTCCAGTCTGTCCTTGCCAGAGGCAGAGTTTGAAAGGGATCTAGGTTTCTGTTGGAGTTCCTTGGGTGATGGTGGCTCGAATAGGGATTCGTCTGTCTCGGTGGAAGGGACATAGGAGTTGAGGTTCTCTTTGAGTGTCTCAAGGCTGCATTCGTGGGGGCCAAAAGAGGTGGAGAAATATTTGAAGGCCTCCTCGAGAGAGCCGTGTAATTAGGGGAATCATCACCAAGGATTTTCCGGGCAGCTCGTTTCTTGGTAATCTAAAGGTGGGCGTGCAGAGGGCTGGTTTGGCCGGCGAGGAGCAGGTTTTGGGCGGCGGGTACTGGCGATAGATTAGACGAGAGCGCGACCCTCACGGGCATAGGTTTCACAGTGTGTTGAAAATGATTGCCAGTCAAGGTCTTCATCAAATATACCGAGCCATTTTGTCCTGAAGCCATTGAGGTCGGTGGTGATATCGGCAGTGGGGAGGGTTTCCTCAGAGGGGCCAATTTAGATGGGACAGGAGGGTTTGAAAGGTTTGGCAGATGTTGTGGCCGTGTTGGGGCTGATTGGGATTCCTCATCGGGAGGGAGATCTTGTAGGGTGGGTGGTGGAGTGTTAGGAGCCGGTGGATGGGGTTTAGGCTTGGTGCTTCCGAAGAAGTCAACAGCTCAGGGGCATTGTTGTGGTGGGCAAGGTTGGCAGGTAAGTGGGGTGTCCACATCGGGTGTGGTGATAATGTTGGCCATCAAGGCAGGGATAGCTGGCGATGGTGTGGCAATTGGCCTTGTAGCAAGCAACTGTGATGTAGGGGGGGAGGTGGTGAGTGAGGGATTCTCAAGGAGGAACAACTGGTC